TTCCCTTAAGATAATTTTGTTAAATATCTTCTAAGTGTGTGTTCATTTTATCAAATGTTTGATTTTGATTGGGAAAAGTGAAAGTCAAACTGTTCTCTACTGTTTTTTAAGATTTGCTTGTTCGTGTGTGTGTGATCTGTGTGAATGTGTGCTCGCATCAGTTTGAGTGTACGTGTGTGTGAGTTGTGTGTGTGTGTGCGCGTGAGTATGAGTGTGTGTGTGTGTGTGTTGGTGCCAGCAGTGGCCAGAAACAGTGTGTTGGGGCCCCTGGGAGCTGGAGGAGCAGATGACTTATGAGCTATTTGAAGGAGGTGCTGGGAGCTAAGCTTCTATCCTCCCTGCACTGCTGAAACATCTCTCCAGGTCCTGGTTTTCACTCTCAACTCTGGCTGACCCTTTTCTCTGGCCTCATACTGCTTGGCTGCATTGGTCCAAATAAGGGTTTTCTTCTTTATTTATTTTTGCCATTTCATTTTCTGGTGTTAATCTATTTACTTTAATTTTTTAAATTAAGGGTTTTTTTTTAAAGATCTATTTTTCAGTATGAGTGTTTTGCCTGAATATATGCATATGTGCCATGTCTGTGCTTGGTACCAATGAAAATCAGAAGTGGGTATAGACACCTTGGAACTGGATTTATGGATGGTTATGAACCACCATATGGGTGCTGGGAACCAAACCTGAGTCCTCTTTTAAGAGCAACACATGCTCTTAACTGCTGAGCCGGGTTTCTGGCCCCAAATCACTTATTTATTCATCTCCTACTGGAAATTGAATGTAGGCTCTTATTCATACTAGTTCAGCATTCCACACACCTAGGTATGTCCCTTAGTGGTTGTTGGTTTTGTTCTAGACAGGGTTTTGAGCATCCCAGAGTGGCATCAAACTTGCTGTGTAGCCTCAGATGGCCTTGAATGGACCTTCCAGCCCCTGCCTCCTGATTACAGGCAAGTTTTACCACTACTGGCTCATTAGTTATATTTATGTATTGGTTTATTTATCCTTTCATTCATTTTTCTGGCCATAGGAGCAAGTGTAGACTGGGGCACAAGGAATTTCCCCCTATTTCAGAATGAGATCATTCATTCTCTTCTACAGTCAGCTAAGGTGTGTACTGCTTGCACTGGTTTCAGGCCAGACCACAAGACCTAGTGGTTCTGCTCCATCTGGTTCCTGACTCCCCACACACCAGCACATGGGCCCCTCATTCCTTTCAGACCTCAGCTTCAAAGCCTCCTTTCTCTTCCTGGCCCTGACAGGTCCCCTTCTGCCCCTTGCTACTTTGAATTCTACAAAACTCTTCAACTCATGTCCCCCCAAGAGGCCATCTTTCTTTGGAAATCTGGGCAATTCCCACGTGTGTCCAATATCATACCCAATTCTATGATGGTTAATTACAATTTTCCTGGTTAGTGAGACAGGATCATGCTCTGTGATCTTTGGTTATCCCTTACAGTTAACCATATTCTGGGGACAAATAACCTTGACTCACACAGCCTGGATTTAGTAAAAAGTCAACCCAGAAAGACCAAGCAAGGGGCTGGGAAGAAGGCTCAGGGGTTAAATGCTAGATACATGTACTGCTCTTCCAGAGGACCTGGGTTCATATGCACATACCCACTCACAGCAGACACATACATACACTTACAAATACTAAAAGTAACTTTAGCAGGGCAGTGGTGGTGCACACCTTTAATCCCAGCACTCAGGGAGCTGAGCAGGAAGATCTCCATGAGTTCAGGGCCAGCCTGGTCTACAAGCGAGTTCCAAGACAGCAAGAGCTGTTACACAGAGAAACTCTGTCTCAAAACACCAAAAAGGAAGAAAAAACCCTTAAAAACAAAAACTATACATTTACTTTAGGAAAGAAAAGAAAGGCTACACAAGGAAACCACTAGGCACTAGGACCAACCAGAACATGAAGCTCTGTCTACGGCCTGCCCCCCCATTTCTGTGTGTGTGTGTGTGTGTGTGTGTGTGTGTATGGTATGTATGCATGTTTGTGTGTGTGTGTGTGTATGGTATGTATGCATGTTTGTGTGTGTGGTATGCATGCATGTTTTTGCATGTGTATGTGTGTATGGTATGTATGTATGTTTTTGTATGTGTGTGTGCAAATGTGGAGGCCCAAGGTTGATGCAGGGTCCTCCTTGACTGCTCTTCACTTTATTCATTGCTAGCCAGCTTGCTCTGGGGTCTTCTTATCCCCACCTGAGGCTGGAATTACATGAGGGCTGACATGCCCATTTATGAGAAATTCTGGGGACCTTCATGCTTGTGTGACAGATGTTTTAGCCACTGAGCCATCTCCTTAGCCTGTTCTGTTTACAGCTTTTCCCAAGAGTAATACAGTCCTGCCATCCACCAGTATCAGTAAAACAGGAGGCTAACTCTCAGCTTGTAAGTATGGTTGACACTTAGAGTATGCACAGTTCTTGACATGTGAACTATATGACATGGGATAAGTCCATCAAACAGTTCCAACTTTTATCATCTTACCAGAATCAGATTCTGAGTCCATTTGAACTGTCACAACAAAATACTATAAACAATAGAAATCTATTTCTTGTGGTTCTGGAGCCTAGATGCTATGCTTTGGAATAGAAATGACCCCAAAGGCCATGTGCTAATGACTTGGTAGGTAGAGCCTAGTAGAAGGAGGAGAGGTGACTGGAGGCACATGGGGGAGCTTGGAGGCAGGGGATTGGAAGCTCAGCACTTTCTCTTTTGCTCTCTGCCCACCCCAACCAAGCAGCTTTGTTTTCTTCAGGTTCTCCTTGGCATGGCCACTTGACAATCTACCTCACTACAGGCCTAGAAACCACAAACCCAAATGACCAAAAGCTAAAACAAATCTCCCCTCTTTTAAGTTGATCACCTCAGTATTTTGCCGCAGTGACACACTGTCTGAGGTCTGAGGTCAAGGACGTTTAGATTTAGTAACTGGCATGCCCCCCACTCCCACCCCATCCCTGTATCCCAGGCTGATGGCTGCCTTTTACTTGGCAGAAGGGAGAAGTAAGCTCTTAGAAGGGGCTCTGCCCTCATAACCTCACATGTAACTCCAAAGATCCTGCAACCCCATGGTAGAAGTAGGGTTACAAAATGGATTTAGGGGAGGAAGTACATAAAGTTAATAATACTGGCATAATAATTGAATAAGTCAAAATGCCTGAAATATTTTGTGTGTTCAAAACTACTGGCTGTGGGTTGTATTCCTTTGTTGCACTGAGAACAGGCATTGCAGGCGTATCACACTGGGAAATCATGGCTAGATTGGGCTAGATGGCTCAACCACATGGTAGAAGAAGAGAACCAATTCTTGAAAGTTGTCTTCTGATATCTAAATGTACACCATGGCACATGTGTGCCCACAAAACACATATACATAATTAAGTCAACATAATTTTTTTTTAAAGCATAAGAAATAGTCTGGTATTAGGTATGATGGCACACATCTTTAATCCCAGCACTCAGGAGGCAGGAGCAGTCAGAGCTCTGTGAGTTCCAGGACAGCCAGGGTTATGTGTAGACCTAGTATCAAGGAAACCAAACCAAACCAAAACAAACATTATTGACCTATTTGCAAGAACTTTGTCTCCACTTCACTTGTTAATATACTCCTGGTTATAATATAGTAACTGTTTAACTATTCATTCCTTATTTTCTATCAGGCTTTAGATTAAACGTCTTTTCTTCAGAGAAGGCCCTACTGTTCATCCTGAATTAAATCGGTCACCACTGTCACAGCCTGCCTACCTCTATGCCTGTTTCCTTTGTATGTATGGCTTACAGTTTGCTGGGGGGGGGGGGCAGTGTTTGAGACAGGGTTTCTCTGTGTAACAACAGCCTTGGCTGTTCTGGAACTCTCTTTGTAGAACAGACTGGACTCAGACTCACAGAGATCTGCCTTCCTCTGCCTACTGAATCCTGGAATTAAAGGCGTGTGCCACCATCGCCGGGTTGTGCTTATGATGTTTAACAATCAAATTTTCTGGCCTATTTATTTTCATGCCCATTAAAACTTAACCAAGTTAGGGATCATGTCTGTCTTATACCTTTTATTTCTAGTGTGTAGTCTGGCCCTTTATACATAGTAGTTCCTCGGGAGATATTTTGGGTGGGTGCAAAACTAGATGGGTAGATTAATGGAAAGCTGAGTGGGTAGATAGATGGATAGATAGGCAGACAGACGCGTAAATGGGTGAATGAGTCCCAATTCATGGGTGGGTGGATGAATATTTAGATGCATGAGAAAACAGATGGGATGGATGTCAATGAGATGAAAGGAAGCTGATGTTCCACATTCGTTTTCTGGCTAAATAGAAGCATGGAAAGGTGGATGAAATAAACGGTTTGTTCGACTGGAAGCTAGGAATAAGAAAGGAGAGCCTTGCTGGCGGGTTAGCGTTTCAGCTCTACTCCTGTAGGGGACGCTGCAGAGCCACGCGCACTGGGTGGGTGCGCATTGGTGCAGCTGGAGTCCGCAGCGCGCGCAGCCGCAGCTGGGTAGACACTGCAGTGTTGAGGAGCGTCCTGCGCAGTCCCACACTGCGGCACTCGCACTGTTTACTTCACATCTCAGCTCGCTAGGTGAGTCAAGTCGTGTCTGCGTTCTTGGCCGCCTCCGAAGTCTTCAGTCTCCTTTAACTCAGAAAACCCAGGACCCCAGAGGCTAGGATGTGGGTTTGATCCTCCCACCCTTGCTGGCTGTGGATGCCCCGAGGTATGAGGAGGAGTTCGTTGGTGGGTTTGGACCTCTGAGGAGGTAGCCTTCGGGGGTGACTGGGGGACGCGGTGCCAATGCTCCTGGGCGGAGGTGGAGGGTTGGGGGCTGAGCCCAGGTGCTTTGGACTTATGTGGCATCCGAAGCCGCTTGTCCTTTTTAACACAGGGTCCTAGGACTGTTGATCCGCGATCCGATCTGCATCTTTTCAAGTTGATGCGCCCAGCACCCTAGGACGCAGCGCTCGCACTCTGGTGTGGCGTCTTGCTGTGACCCCCCCCCCCCCCCGAGCTTGCTTTCCTGCTGGGCCTTAACTGCGAGGAGCTCTTGACCCCACGAAGAATGATGAAGCTGGTTTGCGGCAACCAACGCCCCTCCCCCCGACTCTCCGCACTCTCTGGTGGGCACCACTGTCCAGGAAGCAGGAGTCTAGGTAAGTGCTGCGGGTGCACCCAGAAGCCAGAGTGCCACCTAATTGCCTTTCCATGGGCGTCAGCAGAGGCATGAGGTGGAGTTCAGCCAGGTTCCGATATCAGCCCAGCAAAGATTCTGCAGGAAAGCCCAGTGGGACCCTTGAGAGTCTGGACTCAGGCCAGAAAGACCCCAGGTCCTATGTGAATCTAGTTCCTTCCTTCTCAGGTAGGGACGCTGCAAAGGCAGATCTGTGGTGTGAATGAAACCGATTTCTCATTTTGGCTCTAAACTGGTCTTACCTGAAATGATGATTTCACAGGGCTGAGGTCTTTGAAGGCAGCGGTTTGACAGCCAGTATTTTTCTATTTGAGGTTCTTTGACAAGAGACAGGATAAAGGAACCTTCTTGAACCGCTGCAGTTTATCAGAGCTTACACCTAAGATCTGAAAAGTGCTATGTCAATATATGATTTGTTGTTCCTGTGATGTTGCCAACGTCTTTCTTTTTTCCACGAGAAAATGCTGCGTCATTCGAAAATGCTGCGTCACAGGAAAATGCTGCATCACGAGTAATCCAGCCTCCCTGTATTTGTTCTATGTAGCGGTTGCACTGGGACCTCTTCATGTGCTGCCCAGGACCAACTTAACTAGGTGACATTTAGATGCTTATTTAGGTGCTTCTTGTTTACTGCAGAACTGACACCTTGTTGCAGAGGGGACATGAGAGGCATCTCTATCCTGCCAGGAAGCAGCCAGACTACAACTCTCCCGTGGTAAGGTCTATACCCAAGATGGCTGTTCCCCAGTTGTGTAGCTAGGTCTGTTTGTGGGACTCCTAGCAGTGGGGTCAGGACCTGTCCATGGCACTTGAACTGGCTTTTGGGAAACTATCCCCCATGCTGGGATACCTTGCCCAGCCTTGATGCAGGGGGAGGAGCTTGGTCCTGCCTCAACATCTCAACATGACATGACAGGCTTTGTTGACTCCCATAGGAGGCCTACCCCTTTCTGAACGATGGAGGAGGGATGGATGGGGAGTGGGAGGAAACCGGAGGAGAGAAGGGAGGGAAAATTGTTGTCATATTAAAATAAATGATCAATTTAAATAAACAAACAAATAAATAAAAAGATGGCTGTCCCCAAAGAGGGATGGGTATAGCTTCCCAGGCATGGGATAGGCTGGGAAGTAAATGGACAGAAGAGGAAGATGGCTGCATCCAGTGCCCCAGTTTTACTCTCCTTTGGGCAATTGGTGTACATCTGATTCCTGTTGTGCCTGCTTCGGCCCTGAGTCTTCCATAATCATCCTTGTTTGATGGGTTAGCAGCAGAGGTCTGAATCAGAAAGCAGGAAGGATGTTGCATCATGTACCCAGGCCTGTCTTAGTTAGGGTTTCTACTGCTGTGATGAAACACCATGACCCAAGCACATTGGAGAGGAAAGGGTGTAATAGGCTCAGACTTCTACATCATCGTTCATCATTGAAAGAAGTCAGGACAAGAACTCAAACAGGGCCGGAACCTTGAAGCAGAAACTGATGCAGAAGCCAGGGAGGGGTGCTACTTACTGGCCTTCTTCTCATGGCTTGCCCAGGGATGGCCCCACCCATAATAGGTTGTGTCCTCCATCAATTAGTCATCAATTAAGAAACAACCCTAGAGGCTTGCTTATAGCTGGATCTTATGGAGGCATTTTCTCAACTGGGACTTCTTCCTTTCAGATAACTCTACTGACATAAAACTCACCAGGACAAAGTCTTATGATCCAGAAAGCAGAACAACTAGGCTGCTTTCCTCAGCGTCAGGAGTCTCCCACCCCCTCTGCTTCCCCAGTTCCACAACCTAAGGATTCTTGTTGTGTATCTTCCTTCTGTCTCACCTGATGGCCCTGTGGAAGGAATTTTTATAGGATTAAATGTACTTCCTCGGTCTTTTACTCAGCTGAGCTGACTGCTCTCAGCTTCTGAATTTGACAACAAGCCCTCTGCCCTATCTGGCCCTGCATTTGTAAGTGATCAGGGGGAACCTTTGCCCTGGTCATTGGTAGTGCAGGCACAAGAAATGTGGAAAGAACGGTCCTGAGTTCGGAAGGTCCACACCCATGCCGATCAGTGCTGGGGGCTTTCCCATACTGTGATATCTCAACTCTACATACACTTGGGCCTCTAGGATATTGGAACTACCCACAGATAACATCATTGCTGTCATTGGGGCTTTTGCTTCCTGCCCTGGGCATTAAGTTCTTCTAGCAAGGTCGTTGCCAGTGCACAGTGGTACATTCCCATACACCTGCTATTTGCATCCGCTTCATCCTGTTGGGGGTTACTTAGTGGTATAATTGGTGTCAGCTGCCCTGCTGTAGACCATACACAATATGCTTTGTAGGAGCCAGAGGGAACAATGGGTTTGTTCTAGAAATAAGAGCCAACGGTTTCGGGATGCTTACTGTGTGGTAACTCCTATTTCAACCCCTTTCCCCATACATGTCCTCCTGTGAGCAATGGCAAGCTGGGTGCTCTTATAAGTTTCATATTGTTTGCAGGTGAATCCACTGTATACAGGAGCATCATGGGAGTTTCAGGAACATTCTAGACCCACCTGTGCTTGAGGTAGATCTCTTTTCCAGTTCATTCTCTGGAGTATTGGTCCCTTGCATCTGATACAGCACCATACATGTTGTCAAGGACTTTGAGTAATAAAATGAAAAGCGGGTCTATCACTCTCAGTCAAAGACCAACTCGGAAGGAACTTCATTTTCAGTATTTGAAAAATAAAAGGATGACAAGAGATGACTTTTGTTCCACTTGAACGCATATGTCTGTCCCAGTCCCTACTAGTTCCCAGCCTAGAGACCATGAGGCTTTATTTATTTATTTTTGTACAAAAGAAAGACCACTATGGGGGCCTGTGCTTGGCTGGCCTCTTTTCCTGGGCTCAGACTACAGGCCTCTGGTATGTGCCCCTCTTCTTGGCCTGATGTCTGTTCCCATGTATTTACCTGCATTTAGAAGTGACCACAGACTCCCTGTGCTCTGGTCATCCATAATGCAGGGAGAGGAGCTGCTGACAGCCATTTCCCGTGTTTGAAGGGTCCTCTCCTATCCCTCTCAAATGCTGGCGCTTTCACACACTCCTGCTTCTTACTTGCACAACGTTTCAGCCTCCCTGCAGGACATGGGCTACTGTGTAAGTGTCAGTGATAGGAGGCATCTTGTTTTTGTTCTGTTTTGTTTGTTCATTTTGAGACAGGGCCCTTCTATGTATGTAGCTCACCTGCTTCTGTCTCCCAAGTGCTAGGATTGAAAAAGACAGGTGCCACCATTCCTTTATAGGAGCTATTTTGGCTTGGCCTTTCTCAGCTTGTCTCACTGCCATCAGAGAGCAAGATTTTGACTCTTTAGAATCTAGAACGGCCAGGGTGAATTAAACAAAATGGATGATATGTACTCATCTCCGTAGGGTTCAAGGTTCATAGAGAAGATATCTTTTTCTGTTTATTTTTTGGTCTTTCTTTTTTTTTTTTTTTTTTTTTTTTTTTTTTTTGAGACAGGGTCTCTCTTTGCAGTCCTGTATCTTGCTTTGTAGCCCAGGCTGGCCTTGAACTCACAGAGCTTCTCCTGCCTCTGCCTCCAGAGTGCTGGAATTAAAAGTGTGCCGCCACGCCACCATGCCTGGCAGAAGCGATCTTTTGAAGTTGGTGTGCCTGAGTGGGCCTTTGAAGAAATGTGACTAAATGGATGAAAGGAGATTTGTTTTAGGAGGGGGCATGAGAAGGATGGACTTTGAGGTTGAGATACAGGCCACTAATGACAACAGCCGGGAAAGCTGCAGTGCAGGATGGAGGGACCTCAGTGGGAGGAGCCCTGAGAGTGAGACTCTGAACTGTGTCTTTGCTATCTATGACAGCTCAGCGGTTCTGTAGGGAGCTATTTTAGACGAATAGGACTTGTTTTTACGTTGACTCTTTATCCCTCATTAATCAGGAGCGTTCTCACGGTCTCAGTGAGGAAGACAGCACAGGGAATGAATGGGGCACTGATCTCACCATGATCGCCTGCAGGAGTCTCGCCCAGGTGAGCTACTGCCAGATGGCTGTGTCAGAGTATGCATTCTGAAGTGGAAATTATAAGCTGCTTGCTTTGCCTGACTTTCTGCCGTAGGCTATGGTGGTAGTGTCCCTGGGTGCCACATAGCTCGGAGAGCAAGGTTGCTGCCACACCTTACTGCCCTCCATGGAGGAACACCTTTTCTCTTTGGTGAGTATACAGAGGGAAGGGCCTTGACTCTAAAGACTTGGGGAGCAAAGTTAAAGAGCTTTCAAGCTAGTTCTTTCATTCCCCTTAGAGCCACAGAATGCCATGTGGCACCAAGGTCCTTGTTCTCACAGGTGAGCACCAAGGTGAAACCAGGAATATTAAGCACGCAGGGTTGTCTCTCCAAAGGGAGAGATGTATAACTGTTTTCCACCCAGAAGGCTGGGAGTGGAGGTGTTTAATATTCTGCTGACCTTTGTGCTATCTGTATGACCAAGACCATGCCAGATCCTCCCCCAGATCCTTATGTAATCAATCAGCGGTGTGGTGGTGATTCATGCTTTTAATTCCAGCTTTTGTATGGCAGAGGCAGATGGATCTCTGAGTTTGAGGCTAGCCTGGTCTACAGAGTGAGTCCAGGATAGTCAGAGCTACACAGAGAAACTTCCTGTCTTGAAAAACCAAAAACAAATAAATAAAATTTTAAAAAAACTGTCTCGTGTAGTCAATCTATAAAACCCATCTTTATGTTGATGCCACGTGTACTTTTTTGTATTATTTATCACCAGAAAATTGTTTCACCAAATTATGCTGTGCTTAAATATGCCTAAAATAAACTACCTGGTGTCAGACTCTTGAAGTTTGAACCAACAATTTGCCGGGCGATGGTGGCGCTCGCCTTTAATCCCAGCACTTTGGGAGGCAGAGACAGGTGGATCTTTGAGTTAGAGGCCAGCCTGGTCTACAGAGTGAGTCCAGGATAGCCAGGATTACACAGAGAAACCCTGTCTCAAAAATAAAATAAAATAAAATAAAATAAAATAAAATAAAAGTTTGAACCAACACTGGCTATTGAGTCATGTTGAACTAGACTTTTGCCTCATATGGATCATTACCCTCATGGCGGTGGTGGCATTAGCATGGCCTGGCTACCAACGTGGAACTCATCAGTGGTGGTGTGTACACAGCTGGAGACCAACTCAATTCTTGGAGAAGGTAAGATTTTTCTTTTAATAGAATAAGGGCTAGGAGTTTCAGCCTCTCACCCAAGAAGTCACAACTGTAAGTAAGATAGTAAAATAAGCTTGGATTCTTCTCAGTCCTCTGAGACAAAGCATTTGATACAATTATTGAGATGTTTGTTAAGATCCGAAGGAACAAGATATGCAGAGCAATAGCTCTGCAGCTTGGTACAAGTATCTATAAAATTCAGTCCTTGGCTTTTTGAACAATGAACTATTGATGTTGAACATTGGAAATAAAGCCAGGTGGTGGTGGTGGTCTACAGAGAAAAAAAAAAAAACCAAAAAGAAAATTGGAAATGGAGAGGAGCTAATGCAAAAAGGGCTCATGAAAGAGAAGATAAAATTCCCGTCAATTATTTTGCAAGCTGTGGTCAGTAATATATTGCCCTCAGGAGGATCATTGAGAAAAGAATTTTTGTTTTTTCTGCAGGCCATGTGGATTCTACTACAACTCTGGTTTCCTGGAGGTAACCCAAACAGGCTCAATCATGGCATGCGCAATCTGATGGAACAGGCATGCATCCATCTAGTGATATACTCACAGTCTTAGCAAAATAAGGAATTTTATCTTGTCTTTCCATTGAAAAATGGAGACTTTCTCACTTCAGGCCTTTTAGGCACTGAGAGACCAAATACCACCCAGATTCCTTTGTATTTATGACTACTAAAATTTCACTTTTTAAATTTGTGTTTTGGACAACAGAACAAAAAATTAAAAATAGCAATGTGAACACCCTTAATGTGGATTTAAAGTGAGAAAACAGGGCAAATTGGAATCAGGAAAATGTCTTAGAATATTTCTTCTGGATAATATGGTGGCCAAGGACTGAAAACATCATCTCATGTTTCTCAAATTTCCCTGGAGGGCAGAAGGGGTTAAACCAGGAATGCAAACAATCTGAGTTACATTGTTTTTTGAGTTTTCACCTAAAATTCTTTTTGGTGCAGACTGAGAATCTGAAATGTGGTAAGAACTAGAGCATTCTGGGAAGTTCTTCCACCGTGGAACTGGTGGTCTTTGATGTTGCTCACATTTTAGCTAGATATGTACGTTCATGCTTACATGGGAAAAATCCAATTGTTTTCTCTTTCAGAATTTTCTGTAATTGTTTCTCAGGTACTTCTGAATATCCTATAGGGGCAGTCTTCTCCAACACAATATTAAAATTTGCCTAAAAAATTTAAAGATCCCAAATCTTACATAAATAGCCTTAGGTTCAAATCTTTAAAAGTTAATGGTCATTGTGAATTAAGTAAGTTCTACATCTGTTTTAGTTTTGTGCTTGCCCTTGGTCTGACATAAATGATCAGACTCTTGAGCAGGGAGGAAGTTAGAGGAGGCTCATGAGAGCCTATCCTCTATTGAAGGCTTAGTTTACACAGAATTCTAGTGCAAAATTGTAGCAAGTGGTTCTCATATCAGCTTGACATCTAGAGCTATGGCTGTCTGTGTCTAGGGCCTTCTCCACAGTCAGGTGTGCAGAGACCACCAAAGACATGCACAGTACCTCTCCCTAGTCACCTTCAGAGCACAGTCTCAGACAGGACATGGGGCCCTGGGAGGCTCCAGGAAAATGCCATTGTGTTATATCTAGAATTTGATTTTGTCAAATAGGTCTTTATACATTTCCTTTCTAGGACTGCCATTACAACTAAAAACTGATAATAGACATGCTTATACTAGCAAACACTTTAAATTTTTACAATTTATGGAATAGTAATCACATTACTGAAATCCCTTATAATTGACAGAGTCAAACTATTGTAAAACAACACCATCAAATACTGATACACAAATTTAAATCCCCATGAACTATGCTACATTTAGCTAAACTAACTTTAATTTTTTTCACTTTAAAAGGTAATGCTTTTTTTTAAAAAAGGTATTTTTCCCTAAAGAAGATACAACCTAAAGTATATGTTTTAAAAAAATGTAAAAACTAATCAATAGAAAGGGCCCGATGGTCTAACATCGAGGCAAGGTTATGCTTATATCTTACAGAAAAGCAATGAAGTCCCAGATGGCTCCTGCCCTGACACATCCAACAAGGACAGCATCCCAGAGACCACCAGACAAACAAAGTGTCTAAAGATAGACGACAGATCCATCAAAAGGAGATGTCCCAAGAGGAAGAGTAAGCTGATAAGTTGGGGAGACATCAAGACTTTAACTTGCAAGCCAAGACTTTGAGGAAACAACAAGGACATACTGTTACTGATCTCAAAAATTATGCTATTATGTAAACTGACTATATTTCATGTTAATGCTCAGCTTGTCACTGCAGAATCCAAATGTGTTTTGCCAGGGGAAAGAAAAGGCACACTTGTAATAGGAGAGTATGATGTTGTTCTACCACGATAAAAAACGGTTTTAATCCTTTGGGACCATTTGTCTAGACAAAATATAGTATACAAATAACTTAGTTGCACAAATGGGAGATATTTTGGTTGGACTAATCTAACTGATCAATCCAAATGTAATAATACAAATTTTAGCATAATTAGGTACTCTTTAGAAGGCTCTAATAGTAGAAATTATAATTGTATGAAGATGAAAAAGGATTTCTGATGTATTGGTTACTAAAGTTGAACCAGCGCGATCTGCTAATTGTATTGAATCTGGCTGCCTTCTTGCCTCACTCAGACTGTTACTCTGTTGGCCTTGGTGGCCAAAGAGACCAACCACTAACTACAGCCATAGCAGATAAGACTTGGCTTCCTTCATTCCAGCCAAGTCTTGTGTGGCCAGGCTATGTGCATTCTTACCTATTCCTGGGTTAGGTTTTAGATCCATACCCTGACCTATCTTGTGCCATGTGCCAGCATCCTCTTCCCCACCTTAATACATTTTGAAGTGTGCCTGATACTTGTTCGTTCTTTCGTGCCTTCGTTTGTTTACTGACATCCCTGTGCACAGTTGGTGGCACTCTCCTAAGACTTGATTGGGGACTGTGAGATGGAGTCAGAGCTGAGGTTGAACTAGAAGTGTGTCTTGGGGCTGGGACTGGGGCTTAGGAGAGAAGGGATCTGTGGGACATGACTTGGCTGAGGAACATTTGGGCCTTAATTAAGATGGGTGGGCAGAGTTGGAGCCAGGGACTTAAGGCAATGAGGAAGAAGGAGGATACTGAGCTCTAGGTGAAAAGAAGCCAGTGTCTTAGTCACTGTTCTGTTGCTGTGAAGAGACACCATGACCACCACAACTCTTGTAAAGGAAAGCATTTAACTGAGGCTTGCTTACAGTTTCAGAAGTTTAGTCCATTATCACCATGGCAGAAAGCAGACAGGCATAGTGCTGGAGGAGTAGCTAAGAGCTGCACCCTCATCCACAGGCGGAGGGGGGTGGGGCACACTGGGCCCAGCATGGCCTTTTAAAACCTCAAAGCCCACTCCCAGTGGCATACTTCCTCCAACAAAGCCATACCGACTCCAACGCAGCTGCGTCTCCTAAGCTTTCTAATCTTTGTATTCAAATAGATGAGCCTCTAGGGGCTGTTATTATTCAACCACTATTTGCCTTCAGAGAACTCTGGGACATAGTGGGCAAAGCCTAGTATGGGCATTTCTGTTACCACGGCACATGCTTGGTCTTTGGAGATGCTGGTCAGTGGCAGTTGGTCCCCTGATGGTAGAGCTGTTTGGAGAGGTTATGGGGGCATGGTGCAGGCTTGGTGGAGGAAATACGTCACTGAGGGTGAGCTTTGAGAGTTTAAAGGTCTTGCCTCACTTCCAGTTCGGTCTCCGCTTTATGCTTGGTCTTCAAGTGTGACCTCTGCGCTTGATGCTCCTGCCACCATGCTTGCTGTTTGGTGCTATGCCTTCCCGCCACAATGGACTCTTTCATTTTCTTTTTCCTATCTTTTTTTTTTTTTTCTCCTTGAGACAGGTTTTCTCTGTGTAGCCTTTGCTGTCCTGGAACTCTGTAGAACAGGCTGACCCCAAACGCACAGAGATCCTCCGGCCTCTGCCTCCAAGTGCTAGGATTAAAGGTGTGCCACCACCACCACCTGGCTCATGATGGGCGCCTAACCCCCTTCTGAGACCATGAGCCAAAATAAGCACTCTCTTCCTTAAGTTGCCTTTGGGCACGAGCTTTATCAGAACAGAAAATAGCTAGGCAGTCAGTGAAAAAATGTGTCAGAGAGTGAGTGAGCGAGCATAGGTCTCCTTAGTAAGCACTCGGTAAAGAACAGCTTTTCCCAACTCAGACTGAGCGATCCTCATCTCAGGCCCAGCCTCTTGGATCTTCCTTTTGCTCTCTCTGGCCCTGCCTGTCTCTCCCAACAGAGGACACAGGTGCCCCTCCCATCTCCCAAGCCAGCCCCTCTGCCTCCCTCTTGTGCAGTAAACTCCCATAAACACCCCAGCCACTATGTCTAGTTCTGAATGTGTCCTTTCACTGTGTCCCCAACTGGGCAGCTGGCTCAGCAGTGCCACCTTCTCCAGGAAGGACACGGTCTAGGCCTCCCGGGTCACATCCCATAGCATTTATGCAGACATTTCTAAGAGTAGGCAGGACAAACAAACCAAAGAGCAGGTTTCTCTTTCCTAGGACTGACCTTGCAGGGGACAGGGCCATGCCATTGACTTAAGAACTAATATAGTGTGTCAGAGAAGGGCAAAGGAAGCTATGAAGCAGGGAGGCAAAGGGAAGTCTGGAGGAGTGGCATTTTGCACTGAGTAGACTGACGGTCACCTGGGTGATGGGATGGGCATAAGTGGGTTTCTCACCTCTGGGCATCACTGTAGCCTGTTTTAAGTGTCATCACAGTATAGACCAGATGGAGAGGAGCTCTCCTCATGGATACCAGACACAGTGTGGTCTGGGAAGGTCACGGTGTCTGTGTTTGTTAATTTCTGCCAACCATTAAGGTAAAGGTGGCAGGTGGATCTGTCCAGGGTTTGCAGTCAGCACCAGGCTGGGCATACTTTGTGGTCAAGCTCTACACCTGCCAACTCCACTCCTACTTAATCTGACTGTAGCTCGGTAGACCTGGGAAACACAGTCAGCCATTGATAGGCCTAAGCCATGACCTTGGTTGAGAACCAAAGACAATGAGCAAGACGACAGATTTCTTCCTGGGGAGCTCTACTGTGTCAAGTGTCTGAGTGAGTGATGGACTACATTTAGAGAAATACACAGAGAGAGAGAGAGAGGCTGGGCCTCAGCAGCTGCATCTGGGAGTACAGGGCACTGGACTCTTGCTCTGGGTCAGAGAACACTGTCTCAGAGTCTTATGGGCAGGAGATGATTGTCCAGTTCCCAAATCACATTTATGTAGTTATGTATTTTAATTAGCTTATACATTTTTTAAAAATGCAATTTCAGGGGCTTCAGAGATGGCTCAGTGGTTAAAAGCACGTGTTGCTGTTGCAGAGGATCTTGTTTCATTTCCAGCACCTACATGGCAACTCATAACTGTATCTCCAGTCCCAGGAGATCCAATGCCCTCTTCTGACATCTAGGGGCACCAGGCATGTACATGGTACATGCATACCTGAAGGCAAAACATTCATACACAAAAGTATTATTTCAACCCACGAAGCCCAGGGCTCAGTCATCTCTCTGTGTGTGTGTGTGTGTGTGTGTGTGTGTGTTTTAAATAAAGTGTGGTCATGTGATCAAGATTCCTGTTTCTTTTCTTTCCATTTGGCCTCTCCTGTTCCAATTACTAGAGGGAACAGTGAGTCTCTGTTCATTACTTCCAAACATATCCACAGAGTGCCTAACACCTGGAGAGTTCTATAAACACAAAAGAGTGAGCTGTAATGCTGTAGGTGGCCTTGACAGCATGTAGCAGTCCCCTCTGCCTCCGTGCTGACACCTACCACATCTCCAGAGTTCCTGGTCCAGCCTTTGTCTAGAAGCCACCTAGTGAGAACATACTGGCCTGTCAATTTCTAATGCAGTCACTTAATAGCTGCGGGACCTGGGGCACCTTCTTTTGCCTCCCTGAACAAAAGCTGACCACAAATTAGCACTTGCCTTAAATAGCAAGGGCTGAATGGGCTGGAGCGTGTTAAATATATGACGGAGTACCTGTCTCATGCTGAGTGCTGAATAAATGTCAGCTATTTTTGTCTGATGAGCATATATAGATGATTGATAGATAAAAGGAATAAGAAGTACAGAACGCCACCACAGGAGCCGCCTCTGTTCAGATGACATCACATCCCTTCTGATCTGCAGGCATCTGGGTGGGTAGCTGTTAATCATCACTGTTGATTGCTTGAACTTGCACTAAATACCACACATGGTATCAGCCAATAGATGTAATTACCTCATTTAATCCTTACAACCCAGTGAGATAAATTTAATTGATAACCTTTTACAAGCTAGGAAGCTAAGACTTAAAGAAACAGAGAGAGCTACTTCATGCCCAATGAGTGGCTCAGCCAGCACTGACTTTCTCAGTATGCGCAGCATCAAGAACTGGTCATGGTCACAAGAGGTTGAGGTACACCTGCCCACTGAGTGTTAGTATGTAGGTGTTTTTACTGGCCTGCCTTTGGAATTCTGACAGGGTACACTTTCAGCTGCTGCCACTAAGATCACCACTTGTGCCTACCTCCCATCTCTCTTTCTCTCTCTGTCTCTCCCTTTCTCTCTCCCTCTGTTCCTCCCTCCTCTCTCTTTCTCTCTCTGCCTGCCTTTCCTCTTTCCTGATGCTCCTCTCCTTTCCCCTTTTGATGCTCCTTTTCCCCTAACCCCCCCAAAAAAAAACCCTCCAAGCCAGGTGGTGGTAGCACACACCTTTAATCACCACACTTGGGAGGCAGAGGCAGGTGGAGCTCTGTGAGTTAGAGACCAGCCAGTTTCTGTAAGAGCTAGTTCCAGGACAGGCTCCAAAGCTACACAGGGAAACACTCTCCAAAACCCAAAAACCAACCAACCAAACAAAAGAAAACCCTCTACTTGAACTCTGTTACATGGTGCTCGCGCCGAGTCCCCTATTCTCCCATAACCCTTCACTTCTGTCTTGGCGTGGAGGAACCAGGTACATATCAGGTTTATCTGATGGAATCATATATCTTATTTCAGAACCTCCTAAAGACAGCCACACAGCCTCCCCCCCCCAATCCAGAGTATGCTGCATATTAGAGTTAACTTCAGTAAGCCAGAGTTTGTCCCCTTGGATAGTGACTAGTTACTTACTGAGCACCTCCAGTGTGTGATAAGCACAGGGAGTGTGCATCAGGGGAAAAATGTTGCTAGCATGTGCGCAGTCATCCTTCAATATGTATGGAGTTAGTTCTAGAACCTCAGCGGATACCAAAGCCCACAGTGCTTACCTCCTCTTAGAAAGTGATTTATTATCTCATATAACTGTGGTGTTGTGATGGTTTATATAAAAAATGGTCCTCATAGGGTCATATCCTTGAATGCTTGGTTATCAGGGAGTGGCATACTTGAGAGAGGTTAGGAGGTGTGGCCTTATTGGAGGAAGTGCACCACTGGGGGTGGCCTTTGGGGTTTCCAAAGCTCAAGCCAGGCACAATGACTCTTCCTGCTGTCTACAGATCTGGATATAGAACTCTCAGCTACTTATCCAGCACCATGTCTGCCTGTGTTCTGCCAAGCTTCCCACCATGA